GTTCTCCCACTAGTGAGTCTTATTAACCTCTTTTTGTTGTCTAGACAATTTATACGTATGTTTGCACAACTGATTTATTTCGCTCTTCTAGCTCACCAGCCCCGTTTTCCATACAGATTCAAGCATCACACAGTTAATCTGTTAACAGGTATCTACTATCTTCTGGTGCTGCAAGTTAAAATTTTTGCTTCTTTTATTTATGTAACTTTTTCTTTTTTTGTTTTTGAGATTAATAATAAGATTCCGAGCACCCATAATAATGTTTCATTTAAGAGATTGATAACCGGCTTATCAGCACAGACGTTCTTTTTGGAAAGTATTGGGACTCAAGTCGCAGAAGAGTAGCAAATAGTAAGGCATTTTAATGTCTGCTAGAAATTCCTTACTTTTTGCGTTAATTAGCATCAAAGTTTGAAGTTCCGTCGTCTTTTTTTTTTTGATTGGCAGAACTCATTTTGTTTATTTCTGCCAAGTATTGATAGAAGATCCGACCCAGAAAAACATGAACAAAAAACTAGCTTCATGAATCGAATTAGAAGTCCTTGCCTTTGTGTATTTTAATCATCGTATTAAGACTCGACTACTAATCCCGCCGTGTTATCAACGGCCGTCATTGCGCGATCTTCAAGTGCACCGAGACTGCAGACGTACAAAGCTGAAGATGATATATCGGTTGGAGGTGCTCATATCTTAACGCTTTTCTTTTTTCAACTGCAGATTTCCGTTTAGATTATATTGCTTATTAGGGGTTTTTGAAGTTTCTTTCCTAATCTCTTTCACGGCGGTTCCCCAACCTTCTTCAGTAGATTTTCTAGTAGAGATAAATTCCGTGTAAATGTGAGCCTGTAATTTCTTTTCTTCCAGAAATTCGGAGATTTTGGCCGCCACTGCGTTCTCTAGAAACACTTCATGACAATATAAAGTTTGTGCAACTGGATCAATTTCTGGAGAGATTAGTGACAATGAGGACCCCTCTCCCGTCCCCTCCTAAAACGCCACAGCAACGAGATACGTCAGGTGCGTAGGACTGACTTCCCAAGACTTACATTGCTTTTTTGCTGAATTTTTAACTGCTTAATAAACAAGCCGTTAGCTCGAGTCCAACTCTCTTTCTTTTAAGGAACTTCACCCGACGAAACTCTCACAGTTACTGCACGCCGCTTGGAAGAGTTTGAGAAATAAACCCTTAGCCATTGACACAAGACTAACTTGATTTGTGAAACTGAACGGTTCCGACGCAGGTTTTGAACTCGACCTATTCAGCAGGATTCCTGTTTTGCTTTCAGAGCTGCAGATACGGGTGAATGGCTTTTCGCCCTATACAGATTTGTGTCCGAGAACTTGCTAGAACAGCTCTGCTTGATTGTTTGTCGTAACTTCGACTTGCACCAGTTTTAGTCGTCATTTTATTAAATTACTCTGTTTCAATAACAATAATTTATTAAGGATGCTGTAACAGCTGCGAGTACCAGTTATTCATAATACCATATACGAAATCACAAACTATGACTAGTTTTCTACGCCCGAAGTTGGGATCCCACTTTGCAACTTATCGAATACGTTTGCATGCGCATTCGAAAGATCACGTCTTTTGTTTTCTTTTTTCAAACTTCTTTGGGAATTTAACTGAGGATTTGGCAGCAAACTCTGTGTTTAAAAAAGTTAAATAAGCATTTAAACAAATAACTTGGTTAGGCGCCGTTTGCGCAAACAACGAAGAGATGGGTGTTTCCTATCAACGAAAGTAAAATGACGTGGTTATACAACCTTCAGTGGAACAAGAGGTTTTATAGAGCAATGATATTCGTCTTGTGTGATATCATTTCAGAATTGTAAATTCTTATCGGGAAAGATTCGGCTTTCACCAGGTCAAAATGATGCCCTAATATATTATAAAACAGTTCAGCTATTGAAATAGGACACTAGTGTTAAACGTGATCAGGTTCTCTTCAACGGCTCCGCTTCTTCTTTTGTAGGCGAGTTTGCGCTGACAGCCTTCTTCTTTTCTCCTGGCATAGCTTCTGCCATTTGTTTCCCTTTCGTCTCAGGAATAAATATCAAATAAGCAATTAGTTCGGCAAGACTCATCGCAAACATCACAAAGTACGGCAGCGGGTACCACAAATTGCCCTGAAAATCCCCTTGTGTAGTTTTTCGGCTGGATGCAGTGGCTGAAGTGCTGACTCGTATTCTCAGTAAAACTGCGGCTTACAGCCAATGGACTATTAGTTCACGAGGATCAAAAAAAAGAACTGTTGACTTACAACGACGTATATTTGAGGCGCAATAGTGTTGCCAATGCGATTGAAGGTTTGGATAAAACCTATACCAATGTTTCTGATAGCTGTTGGGAAGAGTTCAGAGGGTTGAACTGCATTTAGAATGTAGATTTCGCTGCAAGTAGCAGATGCAGCTAGGGCCAAATATCGCACGGCTGGCATCATGGACGATACGTCTGGAAGTAGTCTTCTCGGTGATTATTTAGAGTATACGCAGTTATACCATCGTATCAAAACACTACACTTACTAGAACTAGTCGTACTATGGTTGGACCGGTAGAATTTTTTAATAGCAATTTTACTTTGCAAACTATTTTATGGGACTGCATCTCACGCGAACCGGAAACTGCACCTGACTTTGTTATGTAGGAGAAGGGAAGTAAACTGCACTAGCAGTACACTCTAGATAAGCTTTTAACATCGAATTATTTACAAAATAAATTTCTTAGCAGTTGTCCTCAACGTTTTCAAGTTTCGTCCTTCAATTTAGCTTAAAAGTAGTTTTTGCACTAACTGGTCCGTAAAATGGAGTTTGGGATTTACTCGTCTGGCAGCTTTGCAGGATTAAGAGTACAGATTCTCGAAACTCTCTTGCAAGATGAAGAAGTCTTGCAGTACTACATTTTGCAGAACCTGACTTCAGAAGATTATTCGCAGTCAAGCGTCTGCCTTCTTTGACGTTACGCCGCAGATACAGCATAGAAGTGTAAAACCAGCATCACTCACTTACCGAATACAAAGATGATGAACACGATCCCAAGGAATGCGCTAATTGAGCCCATAGAAACACTGTGTAACAACCTTCGCCCGACCCACTTGAATTTAATATCAATGATGGCTGCACAGATGTTAATGGCATATCGTAGAGCTCCAACAATCATCACACTGACGTAGGGCGATCCAGACAATTTGTCGAAATTAAACAATATACCGTACGATATAGTGCTTGTTATCATTCTATAATAGTCAAAGTGATTACGCAGGTTAACTAAGCAGTTTTTGAGAAATTCATTGCAAGCTTTGTTTCGGACAACCAAAACGTCTTTAGAACAGCAAACTGTATAACACTAAGCCCCCTCTCCTAAATGTAGTCAAATGAAAAAGATATCATTTTCTGTAAAAGCCATCACCTGATTTAGAATTTCCTTATTAAACTGCACTTCCACGTTTGTTGGGCCTCACTGCCCAAACGGAAAATACGTTGTCAAAAATCACTAGAACCCTAATAAGAACTTGAGAAGCTGTGAATGCAATAACTTACAGACTGTATGCAAAGAAAGTTGAGTAGATTGCCAATGAACGAGTTGAGAAAAGGTGGTAAGTGTAATATCGAGTCTGGGGCTCCTGATTCTCCGATGCCTTAATAATGATTCTGCTAAAAAAAAGCTCGAAAAAACGTACAAAACTTTCTAGCAAGAGGAAAGCGAGGTACTTGGCGTATACGTTTACGTTCGTTCTCGATAATTTCATCCACTTCTGCTTCCTTTTCAGGGGTATTCGTGCGATCCCATTTCCCCATAGTCAGAACCGCATTACGAGCCTCGTCTAACTTCCCTTTTTGTAACAGCCAACGTGGGCTCTCTTGGACAAAACTAAATTTGAAAAAAGTAATGTCGACTTGGTTTGCTTGCAAAAACAAAAAAATGCGGGTAGAAAATAATTACCAAAAATGTACTTTTCACGGTTTATGGGGAGAACCGGAACTTAACGAGGAAGATTTACTGCTTTTCCAATTCAAAACTGTACAGAAAATGCAAAAAAAAGACATGACTAGTCTGCTTTTTGGAAAGTTTTTTGTGTTACAAATTTAAACTTGTGGATTTATTAACACGTAGCTAAGATAACGAATTTTCCGACGTCCTTTCCATTAATAGAGCTGAGCTCTTACGGGTCGAAACGATAAGTCAAAAAGTAGCAATGAAGAAAAAATCAGGTAAGATGAAGGCGAAAACTACTGAGACAAGACAACAAAAACTTACAATAACATAACCAATGGTATTATTGTAATAGCTGCTGCCAAACGAGATAATGTCCGCCAATCCC